CCAGAGATTTAATTATATTAACAAAAGTTGTAATACAGTATAATGCAATACAGGTTGAAACTGGAGACGCAGTTCTTTTTCACGTTGCAGCTGGTGGGATTGGATCTTTAATATGGCAGTGGGCAATGCCCTTGTTACCACCGTCATCGAACTTCTCACCCAAAGAGAAGGCAGGTTTAGCAAAGGAAATGGATGTCACCATGTCATAATTTGTACGGAAGAGGTTTTTGTTTCCCGTCTGAACGAGATAACATCAGGCCAGGGGTTTATTATTATTATTTTTTAAACCAACGAGTCAATTCGATTTTTTTAAATCACGTGGTCATTAAAAGCTGAAGCTCAATTTGTGAGTAATGATTGAAGCAAAAAATTTGATTCCAACAGTAGTGTTCAGTTCAATTTTGATTTTGATTTGGTTGTATTTGATGTGTGAATGGTAAAATAGTTATTCGATTCGATTTTTTATTTATAAAATCAAAAATAAAATTATCCAAATCGAGAGAATTGTATTTTTATTAAATTTATATTATTAGTTTTAAAATTTTAATAAAATAAAAAATTATATTTATAAAATTATGTCAATACCTTTAAAATAATTTAGAAAATAAAATATTTAAAATTTAAACAATGAAGAACTGAATTAATTTGAATTGTTAAGCTTCAATTTGTATCAATTTAATATTTTTTTAAAAAAATTTTTTTTATATTTTATTAATAAACTAATAAATTGAAAGTGCCAACAATAATATGATGTATTGATAAAATATTAAAATTTTAATTTTAATGATCATGATTTAATCATTGATAATTTCAAGTACAAAATATAATAGATTTAAAGTTAATTAAATGCAATAATTTATTGTAATACAAAGACGAAAAAAGGTTGATTAAAAATCAACCAACTATAATTTTATTAAACTAAATAACAAATTAAAAACAAAAAAGAAAGAAAAAAAAACTACACAATTTTTTTTCTAAAAAAAAAAAAAAATCTTAGTAGTTGTCTGCCATTTGCAACATACACCAATAATGAGATGATTTTCGATGACTAACAATGGGGTAAGGCAAATATGTTGTAACATTTCGAATTTTCAAGTTATAGACATAAAAATTTCTATATTCGCACTAAGTATAATAAATAGAGTTTTTCTTTATATCAAAATTTTCAATTACTCGATAACATGAGCCGTAACATTGATCTGCAAGGAAAATTACATTATTTGTAATGCTTTTCATCTCGAACCATTCCTCTTCACAAAAATCAAATCTAAAAACTTCAAAATATGAAGCTCATTCGCACAATCTTGGAGAGTAATCTTGCAAATAAGTAATATCTCTTCAAATAATTCAACCAAATATTTTTTGCGTTGAATGGTAAAGTTAAATAGCTTTGATTCTATTTTGACAATTAATTTTGTAAATCGAAGACTTGATCATTCAAACTCAATTGTAACCAAACAATGTTCTAAAGAAATGCAATAAGTCTTTCCTCCAAATGTTGTCACACTGACTATAACATCGTCTTCCAACTTTTGTTTTGAAAATTCATGAGCACCAAAAAAACAAAATATAAATTCATTCTTTACGTAATTAAAGAAAAGGATGTGGCAAGTTTGATTACTTGGAGGTGCCGTGAGAATGCACATACCGAATTTCATATTAAAAAAAAGAAGTTAAATTGTCTCCATCGAAACAAGATTTAAAAGGGAACTGATACAAGATCCAGTAACACTAACCATTCAAAGGAAGAACAACATATTTGTTTGTTACGCATTTCAGGAATGATTTTAGTGTAATACCGATGTTGTGATATGCTGAAAAAGGTCTGCCTTTGATCAAGCTCTCCATAATATATAACAAGCCAAGGGTGAAGTTGAGATTTGGGGGGGAGGAAGAGAATATGGCGGTCGTTCATTATCAACCTCAACTATTGCTTCCATGTTCACAAAACCAAACCTGTTTTACTGCATGAAAATATAATATTGTATACATCAGCAAGCATAACAAAAACATATCTCCTAGGTTAACTGAATTGGAAGAAAATAAATTTCAGTCAAACCCCCAAAAAAGTAAAGAAACCCGTCTAATGGTAATTAAGCCATAACCAGAAATATAGTATTGGGATAATGATTTAGTTTTCTTGCTTGTTTGCAACGTACAAATCCAATTTCTATCCTTCAACTCATGAATATCTTCGATTAAAATATCGAGTGAATAGAACTTGATATTTGTTACTAAATTCAAATCAATATTCTAAAAAGAAAAGGCAGAGCCGCCTGTCAAATGGAGCTAGCGAGTCAAAATATGAAAAGCTATATGCAATAATGAAGAATTAAAGCAAATTTACATGAAACAGGATTGGTGGTAATCAATTAAGATGCATAATCTTTCATTGCTAGTTATTAAGAATATAAATAATAGGTTATAAAGATTTGAATTGAAGTTTTGCATCTTGTTTGATTAAAGAAAGGTATAACCAAATAATCCCAACACTGCAAATCAATCAACAATAGGCATAAAAAAAATAATGAAAGTGATCATACCTAATTAGTAAGAAGATATATAATAAATCGCTTCTCTTCTTGAAAACAAAATACATTCAATCTCTCCTTTGCTCCCTTAATTAATTTCACTCATCAATACAAAAAATAAAACACAATATATATAAATATATTTATGTATATAAGGTTATGTATGTATGTGAGGTTATTATTGGGCTTTTGGCAGCTAATTAATTAGAATTATTTTCGGATTTAAATTCGTAATTACAATAGCAATATATATTATTAATTATAGGCCAAAGATACTCCTTTCCATACTAGGATTAATATAACTATAATTAATATTACAATTATATTTATTAGCTTTTGGAATTAATTATTACATTAGAGGATCCTCTGATGTGGAAAAAAGGAGATGGGTGCATTTATCATTGGGTTGCATCTTCTGTCTTGTTCATTATCAAAGCCATGTGTTTGAATGACAAACTGTCTCTGTTTTATTCTCAACTTTTTCCCATCTCCTTCAGTCCCCATTCCCTGTTTCTTCCTTATTTTGATAAGTATAGAAATTTAGAAAGAGATAATCAAGTCTTTTGAACCCAACTTCTTCAAACAGGACCCATTGATCCCAAGAAAACCAGCGGCTCTTCAAATTTTGAAATGGAAAAATGTTACTAAAGTGAACTTATAGGAAAGAAAACAAAAAGCAGTAAGTCAAACTTCTTCAAAGCTATCTTAGCAACCATAAATGTCAATTTCTGTCAAACAATTTAAGTGCACTCGAACTAGCAGCAAAAATAATTGTAAATGACATTAATCTCTTTGAAATCAGCAGTAGAGAATTCATTCCGAACCAAAAAAATGGATAAACCTCCTAAAACCAATTAGAATAATAATTTGGATTCTGCATGAATAAAATCCTTCTCAAAAAACATCTTCCCATCAGTTTTCAAACAGGAACACAACAAAAACACCCACCCACATATGAACATACAAACCTTTCTATTTTCCTAGTACTACTAGTTTTTGAATTGCTTTATCCCAAACCCTTTCCTACTTCTTCCAAATCTATTAATCTGAACACATCTAGCATCAACTACCCTGATTGATTGAACAAGGAGTTGATTTCAAAATTTACGGGACGATCACCATGCTGTGAAAAAGCACATACCAACAAAGGTGAATGGACCAAAGAGGAAGACCAGCACCTCATTGACCATATCAGTGTCCATGGTGAAGGTTTGCTAGTGTTCCCTCCCCAAAGCTGCGGATAACTTCACTTTCTAATTCTAAGATCTCGAACATTTCAATTCTTTCTTATTCTTTTTCTTTTGCCTTATTGCTAATTATTAATTTGATTTCTTGAATTGTGTCTACAGGGCTGCTTAGATGTGGCAAGAGTTAGAGATTAAGATGGATAAACTACTTGAGGCCTGATATCAAGAGAGGAAATTTCACTGAAGAAGATGAACTTATCATTTAACTTCACAATTTACTTGGAAACAAGTGAGTGTTTTGAAAGACTTTTACAAGGAAAGAAATATTTGAACATCTTTTTCAATTTCATAATATCTGAAAGATTCCCGTTCCTAAATCTATTGACAGATGGTCTTTAATTGCTGGAAGATTACCAGGAAGAACAGATAACGAGATCAAGAACTACTGGAACACAGACATCAAAAGAAAGTTAAAAGCTGAGCAATTGATCCCCAAACTCATCGTCCCCATAAAAGATAAAACAAATCCTACACACAGTACAAGAGACATGACAAAGAAATATGAAGAAAAGAAGCAGCATGCCTGTCATCTTTTGCAATTGAAATAAGTTTCCCTGAGTCCTACAAACTCGGTTGATATACAAGGCCTTTTTCTCCGGTACATTCCCTGAAAGAACGCTTCTCAACCTATGCCATAGAAGTACCCAATTGGACTATTTAAGTAATATTCACCATTTTATGTCAGGAAAAAAAATGCGAAAGCAAAGGAAAATGAGAGTGGTAGAGGAAGGGAAGGAATAATATACCTCGACACAATCTGATTCACTTAGACACTTTACCAGGTCCATAGCCACACCTTTGCAAGACTTTGACATTTTTCACTTTCTCAACTAATGAAAAAGACTGTCTTCAAATCCAACCAAAAAGAACATGGCAAGCAAGTTTGTTTGATTACTGGGTTTTTAAATTGGAGGACTCTTGGGTGTTCCCGTTGAAACTTAAAAATCCAGGAAAACTGGTTGCTGGTGTCTGGTGGGGTTTAAAGTAAAGGTTTATAGAAAAAGATATTTAAAGTTTTGTCCCACAAAAATTGTTATTTTAAAAAAGGAATAAGTCAAATTTTATTATAGATTTTTTAAACTTTTTTATACAAAAGATGAAGGATAAGAAAAGAAATTATTTACATTAAAATTTAAATCTCAAAATGTTAAATTTATAGATAATTACATAAACTATTCGAACTAGATTTCAAATTAAAAAATTGAATATATGACTTAGTGAAAAATGTTAATATTTTCTATTCAAAAAGTCACGTTGGAATTCTCAGCTAATCGTACACAATCCTGATATCAAAAGACAATTGAGTGTCTATTGTAGTTTACTTTTAGTAAATAAATTGTAAAGATAAACTATGACATTATTTTTGGAAATAATAATAATTTTATGGGAATGAGGAAAAGGAAATTCCTTAGAAATTCCTATAAAAGAAAAGAGAGAATTTAGCAGAAATAATTCATGATTTTTGACTCGAGAGGCATTAACCCAAATTCTCCATCCAAAAGTTCCATCAATCAGCGAAGTGAAGATAATCTCAAATAAACACAATCACATTGCAGCGTATCTATAGCCATTAACTAAAATGAGACTATGCATAACCCTCTCTGCAACAACAATGATGTAATATGCTTTATTCATCAACCATCATAAAAGTACTTCGATAGGGTAGAATTCGATGAAAACACCGACATCAAGGACGAGCGAATCATAGAAATAATTCTAGCCATAAAAAATATTATAACCATGATTAATTCCTATACCCGAGGGGAGGATGAGCTAGATCCAACTGATTTCCAGAGCTTGACCCAATCCAGCATGGCTGTAGCAGCACGAGCAAACATTGGATCTCTTGATCCTAGCTGCTCTTTCACAGCATTTGCCACCTCAAATACGCAGTCCTCTGCTGTTGTAGCTTCCCGTGGCAACCTCACCGACTGAAAGAAAGGTACAACTTCCTCCATCAGTTTCACGCCCTCCCACTCTTTTTTCAAGCTTGCTATAGCATCACCTCTATCGTTTCTCCACACATAAGGCAGTCCAGTTTTCACACCAAGCCCCAGGTGGTCGCACACAACCTTAACACACATCCCACTCCATATGTCTTCCATTGTTTCCCACCTAAACTTACCTTCCCCTGCCAACCTCAAAGCTGGAAGCAAGGCAGGTCCTACCACCTCCCGATCAAATGCGATGTTGATTCCACTAACAGGCACCAGGGCCCTAACTGGAACAGTAATAACTGCATCAACATACCGGGAATTCCTTTGTCCTGGCTTGAGGGCTTGGGTAGGTGCATCATGGTCAGCCAAATTAAGCCATAGCCCACATGAAAAAGCACATTTTACCCCACTCCGAAGACTGAATGGGTAGCCACGAACAAAATCCACTCCTTCAGAGAAAGGGTCATACAGAGTATTAAAAAAGAAAGGCGTGGCTGGGGTTGCAAGGTTGGTAATATGCTGGGCAACAGCATCCACCAAAAAGCCTTTATTGTCCCTGGCTGGGAGACAGTCATCATCCATAGATATAATGTACTTCTTCCGAGAAACAAGATAGCCAAAATACCTGCATGAATAGCCAGAGAAGATGATTGCAGTAGAAGAACCCACCACTTGATCTATGTCAGGCTTTTTATAGACATCAAGGTTAAAGCCTTCAGGTATTTTGAGTTCCTCTTTCAAATCAGGGTCTTTGACAATTATGAGATGAAATCGAGAGAACATAGGTCTCCACTCATTCATGAATGATGTCAGGTCAGAACGGAGTGCTCCTATCACAACATCAATCTCATCATCCTTAATAGCTAGAGACATCTTACCAAGTACAAATAACAATTGAATTCAGAATAGTCAGGCCTCTTAAATGCAGCTGGTTGTTACTCTTTAGACCAAAGTATTACGTATCCCACTGATTAAACCAATCTCACAATTTCTCAGAACATCCTACAGAGGGAACAAAAAATCAATTAGGAAAGCAGCTTCAAACTCATTTGGATAAAAAAAAAATTCAAAATTCCGAAAATGACTTACTAGTAGGAAGGACAGGGGTAATTGTGACTTGAATGTTGAGTGCCTGGATAAGTGAGAAGACCTCGTCCTTGCCAGTAGCTATAAACAGCTTGAGAACTCTTTCAGTTAGCTTTCCAGCTCTTAATGTTCTCTGCCAGCATCATGAAAATTAGTCTTACTAAATAAATGCTACTAGAACCAAACAAAGTCCAGACAAAAAAATATATGAGGTTACAGAGACAAGCTAGATTCATAAACCTAAATACACGCTAGTCAAACAGAAAAGAAAGCCAAAATAAGCGTAAAGAGCTGAAATTTTATTCAATCATTCTCAGGTTCAAAGGATTTGAAAGACAAAGGGAAAACAGAAAAGAATTTAGAAAACTAAAATGTGGTAAATATGCAACGGAATAAATACAAGAAAAAGGAAAACAAATAATCATAGCAAAAAATTTAATAAACAAATGGCAGCAACAGCGGTACAGTCATACCAAGTCATTCGAAACAGCAATGTGAGCTATCCATTCAAGCATAAAAAGGGCAACAATGGGAAAACTCACGAGCCTCTCTAACTTAAGTTCAACAGCTAGCATGGTTTGTTGTTTTTGTATTTAAGAACAAAAATATAACCTGCACGCATATCTAGAACTCCCTGATATCGAACTAAAATCACCAAAACTTTTATTTTCCCAAATATCCATTCAATGCCACTTAAATTGTCAGCAAATTTGTTCAAATCAATCTGTCAAGAAACAGGGAGGGCATTTTTCCTGTAGAAATGTTAGACATAAGAAAGTACGCTTTTGGATCCAAATACAGAAAGACACTGCACAGATCCAGCTACTCCTGCCTTGTTTTCAGCAAGAAAATTTCATCAAAAAGCAAAGAACTACTGGTTGAAATTATGAAAAGAAACTCCTCTGCTCTCCCAGCCACAAAGATTGAGTACATCAGTGGGCTACACACCCAACATGGCTAACTGCTTAGTTTGTAGAAATTGCCATCAGCATATTAATTTATTCAGGTTTCTCCATACATTGTAAACAAAAATGGATCGCCAGATTGTTAGTACTGCCAACTTTATTTGTCAAAAACTTTAAATTCAACATCAGTTCTTCAAAATTCTACGCTGATTTTTTCTTACCAAATTAGAATTCCATGGTCTACCCCCTGACATGGAAATTAAAACAAGAAAGAAAGAGTAGGACTCTAAACATCCTAAGGCCCCAATCTTCTCATACACTATGATCTAGAGTGGTGTTTGAATTGGATAGGAAATAATTATTGAAATCCATTATTGAACATGAAAAGACAATTGAATCATATGAAGAACTACAACATAATTTGAGACTTTAAATCGAATTAGATAACAGAAACAAATTTGGAATTGCAGAATACAGCATAGGCAACACCTCAGTAAAAGTATTAACTACTTTCTAAGAACTTAGCCATATCCCATCAAAATCAAAGGATTCATTTTCCCCAGAAATCATCATAGCTACAGTCATATATACAACCCCAAATATGAACAATTCATAGCTTCACATAAAAAGAAAAGCCCAAAAAACAAACAAGAAATTAAAACTACCCATGTAGCCAAAAGGCAAGAAAAACTGAAAAAGAAAAGAGAAAATTCAAGAAAGAAAAGATGAAGAAAGTTTTACCAGGAAGAGTTCGATGAGGATATGATCAGGAAGAGGAGAGAGATCGGTGATGTTGGAAAGATTAACTACAGCTGAATCTATAGTTAAAGATAGCAAAGAAGGCGGGGTTCTCATTCATTCATTTACATTCATCCTCAATAATTTATATTGATTTCTAAAATTTAAAAAAAAATTAAATAATAATAAACGGGTAATATTCTTGGATCTATAACTAAAAAAATATATAATTCTAAAATTAAAATAAAAAAGAAAAATAAAGAAGAATCGGTCTGCGTGCTTGATCCGATTATGATGTTTTGCAGGCGATAGATCTTCAGCGGTTTCTCCGTCCCATGTGTTTGACAATTTTTTTATTGCCCTGACATGCTTGCTGTTATCTTCACACGTTTCTTTAGCTGCACGTGTGGGAATGGATCTGATAGGTAGAATCATGGGCTGAGAAAATAACCGTTCAGACCTAGATTGAGCAATCCTTATCCAACCCACTCCTCCTATGCTCCACTTCAATTAAGGCCTCTTAGGCCTATTAAAAGCCCCTTAACCTTATTATTTAATATATTAAAGAAAATAAAATAAATATTTGATTTAATAATATATTTTAAATATTAATTATCATATAATTGATATAGTCATAGATAAATTTTTAAATAAAAACGTATTAGTTAAATAGTAATTTTATGATAGTAAAAAATAAAAAATATATGATTAATGCTAATTAATTATGATCTAAATGTTAAAATTGATTTTAAAATTTTAAATTTGGAATATAAGTTTTTTTTTTTGCATGGTAATGTAATAATATGGTTATCTGTTTATTTATGGTAAATGTAATATGTTCATATTTTATTGAAAAAGAATAAAAATATTATTTCATATTATTATTTTTATAATTTCAAAAAAATAAAAGTGAAAAATGTGCAGCATAAAAATAATATGTTTGATTAAATAATACATTTAAAGCTTTTTTCCTATTTTATTTTTTAAAAATCTTAATTCATAAAAATTATATTCATGCTTTATTTATGTTGTTCATTAAATACATACACATATCATTTAACAAAATATTTAAACTCTAATTTCATATTTTACTTCACATTTCATTGTATTAACATATAAATAAAAACAAACTCTTAAAAAGCTTAATTGTTTAATCAATTATAAAATATAAAATATTTAATTAAGATTAATTACTAATATACAAATAATGAGGTGAATGTTTTTATGGTATACTGATTTTATAATATTAAGATATGTAAAAAGAAATATAAATATTTTTTAAAAAATTTAAAATTATTCAAATAAACAATTTTTTGAGCAAAATTCTAGTAGTATTTTTTAAAGGCGTCTTGAGTTAATAAAAATGCAAAAGCAAAACATTTGGTTCCAAAAACATTACATAGATGGTTGATGTTACCAAAACAGCTACATAAATCCTTCCCGCACTCCAAGCTTCTCTACTCTTTAGTCTTTAGATTTCATTTGGATGGCTCCTGGGAATAGAATTCCACCGCGCCATCATGTCGTTTTGGAACCGAGCCATCACGTCCTTTTGAAACTGGATTGAATCCATTCTCGGCCATCATCCAAATAAAACATTAACGAAATAAAGTTTGCTTACTACAACTAAGCTAGTACAAAAATCTCAAATACAAGAGTTTACTAAAGCATCTAAAACTAGAAGAAAGTCCATGATGAACCAGATTCCTACTTAACTCCAACTACAGACATGAGAAAGCGAAGCTTGGCATTGACTTCCACCAGATCACAAGTGTCGTTGAAGGAAGCAGGGGGCTCAATTCCAGTGAAGTGATAGAGAGCTTTCAGTTCCTCTATGCACTTTTCTTGTCGTGCGCCTTTATATCCAACTACTGTTCGGAGAGCATTCATCTGTTCCCATATCTTCTCCTCACTGTATAATGTCTGCAAACAGAATTAACTCGACGTGATCAGTGTGAACCAGCGTACAAGCAAAAGCTACATATCAACAAAGCTATTGAATAGTCTATAATTCTTTGTGATAAACACGGTTACTCCTCAAAAGACTTCTAATTATACGTGCTAGGATTGTTTTTGGTATAAAAAGTTTTTAAGGTAAGAAGAGGCTTTACCATTTCAAGGCCAAAGCAGATCACAGACCTCATAAAAGATACATTATTGATTTATAAATTGTACACCAAGGGACTGTTGGCAACAAGAATCAACTGAAGCCTTACAAGTATTCAATCCTCACCAACTTAACCAATCCCCGTTAACTATGAGGGATGCTTTGACAAATTAATTCATGTTCAAAGCATGTTTTAAGAAGATCAAGACAAAGGAACATCAAATAAATTGAATATGACCATTCTATCAAGTAACAAAACCTGCGTCATCAATTGTGCTCTCATCCCACCAATCAAAAACTACTATGTCAATCATGTTAAAGTAATTGTTTCAATTATTTGCTATCAATCTTATATGTCAGAACCTATGGGTGTGTGTGAGAAGGAAGAGAAGAAAATAGAGGTTCAATATAACCAGAAGCAACATACTATTTGGCATTGGTGTCTAATGAGACTGACTCTGTAGACCGTAAAGATTCACAGGTTGATAAATGCATAGGAAAGCCTCTCAGAACAATTAATGACACAAAATATATGAGCACATAGGCATACACCCTATGCATGCATACATACAAACTGGTTGACAATATGATTATTGAGTTAAAAGCTTTTAGGAAAAAAAAAAAGAGAAAGAACAGAGCAGGTTTCACTTATTTACTTAAATCTATTAGGAGCATCTCTCATGTATAATAAAATTCACAAGCCAGGCCCCGTGTTTCAAATGCTGCCACCAAAGTATATTGTATTCCATAGTGCAAAAATTAAAAAAAAAAAAAGAAATTATCCGTAAAATGTAATATTCAGCTAAAAAATATCTGTGGCATCCTTGCATAAGACCTAAGATTGCAGTTAGATATATTAGAAGAATGTGGCTATGAAGCACCATTGAAATTTTTTATAAGAAACTAAGAATAGAGAAAGCGTGCATCAATGGTTACCAAAAAAAAAAAAAAGCTGGTGCAAGCGGTCAACAAAGGGATAAATCCCTGAAAGGAAAGGAAATGATTTGATTGAAGATTACTAAATCAGTCGTTGGACTTAGAAAGCTGAGCCTAATTGATTCTAAAATAAATTCGGATACTAGAACTACCAAAGGTAAGAAACAAAAAAAATGTGGTTAATACTCGGAATATTTTGAAACAAACAAAAAGGAAGACAAAAAATTACGGCCCTTCTGCATCAATTGTTCGAGTATGGCTCCCAATTTTAACGAGACTAACATTTGTATTCAGCAATAGCGACATTGTTATGCAATATAATTAAACTTAGGCTTGACCTCATTTGAAGCTGTATCAATGGCATTTTCTGTAGAAATTCGAATGTCATCTGATTCTTGAGCCTTTGTAGAAACAGGAAGCTCTGAAGAATCAGAGATTTCTTGGTAAACCATGTAACTTGATGAAGGCTGAGTTTCTGCATTGGCACCATTTGAGTAAAATTATGAGAATCTCAATTAACCTTACGATCATAAAACAGTATTTAAAACAAGATAAATTGAAAAGAAACTATTGCCAAAAGCTACCTTCAAAAGTATTCACATATGAAGGGGAGCCCTGCTGACTAACTGTAATTAAATCTTCTAACTGGTCAAGCCCTCGCTGCTCATTGATTTCTCCTTCATCTTCATTGGAGAAAATCACATCTTTTTTCTCCTCATTCAGTAGAAAATTTTGTTCTACATTATTTTCATTATCATCTTCTGCTTGTCCTCCTTCCATTAACATAGCACTTTCAAGCTCTTTTCTACTTCTGCCATCATTTACTTTTTCACTCACTGGCCCTGCAGACAGTTCTCTTCCGGGAATGTTGTCCTCAGAAAAACCTTTAGCATCTTTACCCAAATTCGTCTCCTTTGAGAAAGCATCCAAATTTTCCACAGATTCCTTCATTTTCACTTTGTTATCTGCTTTATTTTCTACTGTGGCTTCAAACTCGCTAGTTGGCTTTTTCATTCCATCATGGGCAAGAATACATCTAGTTTTAGCCTTTTCAACATCTCCAACAATTTTCTTATCATCCTTCTCTGCACCTACATGCTCTTTTTCTGCACTCCGCTTGTCATCCACTGCATAATCAGTTTTTCCCTCATCCCTGATTCTTTCTAATAATCCCCTAGTCTCTCTTACTAACTCTTCTTCCCTGTCAATATCAGCAGACTGCGATAATTGGAAATCTACCTTTTTTATTTGAAATGGTGTTTTCTTCTCAATTTCGCTGCCATTCTTCTCATCTCTGTCAAACTCAACCACAATATTGCAAACCTCCTCTATTGGCTTGTCACTCGTACTTCCATCGCTGACAGATTGCTCCTCCTTAACTTCTGTTGTTCCCACAATGTTAACCTCAATCTCTTTTGGTTGTTTTCCAGCTACATTTGCTCTCTCTTCTCTCCGCTTATCATCCACTTCACAATCTGTTTTGCTCTCATCTGTGATTCTTTCTGATAAATCCCTTGCCCCTATTGATGGTTTCTCATTCTCTTCAATATCAATTGCCTGAACTAACTGAACAGGTTCATTTTTTACTTCAGGTGGTGTTTCCTCCGTACTGTTCTCCTTCTTCTTACTTCCCTCTAGGCTACCTAGAACAACACTTATCTCATCTACTGGATGTTCACCCGAACTTTCTTCTATAAGGGGTTGTTCCTGTTGCCTTTCTGTAGTTCCCTCATTCCCTTTCAATAGTTTTACCTTGGCATCAACTTGTGCTTTTTCCACAACTTGCTTATCTTCCACTGCATCACGACTTCTACCCTCTTCTCTGTTTCTTTCTAATGATCCCCATAACTCTCTTACCAATTCATCGTTCTCTACATGAACAGCTGCATTTTTCAGTTCAGCTGTGGTTTGCTTATTGACATTGTCTGTTTCTTTCTTATCACCCTCAATGGTAGTCAAAAAACCATGAATCTCAGCTCCTGGCTGTTCATTTACACTTTCTTTGATAGACTGTTCCCCCTTCAATTTTCTTGTTCCTCCAATTTTCAACCTAGTCTTCTTTTTTCGTTTTGGCTGTGCATCTACATTCTTAACACTCTGCCTAGTCATTCTTACTAATTCCTCTTTCGCTTTGACATTTTCAGCTTTCAGTTGTGTTTCCCTCTCAATGTTGCTGCTCTGCTTCCCGTCTCCCTCCACAAAAGCCTCAACACCATTGCCCCCATCTTCTCGCTGTTCACTCCTAATTTTCTCTATTATAGGCTGCTCTGTTATTTCCTTAACTTCTACCTCAAAACTTTGGGATGGCCTTTCCTCTTTTTCCTCCACAATTTCATCTACTTCTTCCATTGATGTCTTGTCATCATTTTCAACACCACCTTTCTGATATGCACCCTCTTGCAAAATATTCCTTTTATTGAGTTCCTCCTCCGTGTCAACTAATTCAATTCTCATCTCAACTTCTTCAATAGTATCCATTTTTAATTCTTTTTCCTCCCTCTCTATATTAAAACCTCCTTTAATCACGTCATTTTGTCCCCCTTGATTCTCATCTCCGTTAGCTTCTTCTTCACCATTAAGTGCCTTTCTGTATTCCAATAATGGGGCAGCTGGCGAAGGCATTGGAAGTAACCTACGCATGACAGTCTCAGTGCAAGCATAGCTCACCAAGAAGACCCCATAAGGGATGGAACAGACAAACCCAATAGCAGAGATAGCCATAAGTGGAGGAAGGACAAGTGGTACAGATGATATAACAATTCCAGTGACCAAAATTTTCCTTCCTAATCTCAGCATCCAACTTAGTTTGCCATTGTCACTGTTTCCTTCTGAGGATTCTTGAATTTCCCATTCTGATTTTGGGTCATCCATCCTAGAACAAGTTAACAAGCCTTAAATTAGTTACTCACTTATCCAAATATAACAAATATTCCCATCATCATGTTGATTAAGTAAAATTCTAAAAAAAATTCAGCATCATAAATGGAGCCAAAAGAGCCAAAAGCAGAAAAATATTTGAAACATACATTACAGTAGCACAGAATTAATCTATCATTAAGATGATTCCAAATATTGAAACACGATCATACAAACCAGCTCTAGAAATTAAAGAGGAGAGAGGAAAAAAAAAAAAAAAATACTTGGTAAGAGAGATTTTATATTCCAAGAAAAATTTTCAACTCTTTAATCGTTCAACCACCCCTACCCTCAAGAAAAGGAGAAAAACCATACAAACTTTTTACCTGATAATGATACTTAGACGGTTACTTTGAACAGTGTTGAGGTCACGATGAATGCGTGTTTGATTGAAACTTGAAAGAAAGGAAGTAGATGTGTAGAAGCCCTAATAATGGAGTCGAAGGGTAAGTTTAAGTTGGAATACATAAAAAAGAGGCAAGAGCGTGGTGACAATGACACGCGTTGGAATGAGGAGATTACCAGATGTCCATTTGCATGCAGAAGATAGGTTTCCGCATTTCAACGTGGTTGCTCAACATTGGCACATGACAGCCTTGTTTTTTTGGCCTCTGCATGTCGGAACAAATCAATGGGTATTTCTTTTTTTTTTTTAAAAGCAAGGAAAGAGTTCGTGAATTATGAGTGCAATAAAATCAGATTTTGCAAAAGACATGATAAAACCAATCCCCATCCCACGAATTGGTGCCTGATTTGCAGGATGTGACCCAGAAAATTTCTACCACATCTATATAGTGATACTGATTATTGATATCATTCTTGCTGTAAGTTAAGTACCTGCTTTCCAGGGATCAGCATTCAGCACTATCAGCAGTTTCCATGGAAACCCCTGGCATTTTTATTTCCATCAATTTCTTCCCCATCTCACTCGGTCACTCCATATAGTTCTCACCATCCACATTCTAAAGGACAAAAAAAATGGACAACCTTGAGAACTGAGAATGTAAGGAGTGAAGGTTAAGTACCTCTAAATTAGGACTCTTTTGGAAATTAAACTGGAAAAAGCAACTTTTCTTATTGCAAACAACACTGATACAGCTTTTTTAGTAGAATCAGATACTCCACTATTAAAAAGAAAACCAAATACATGCGACCTAAAAATTGATGCAATCTTTTCTCTGATGATTATAACAGATTAGTTTAAGTACTAATTTCTCATAAACTATATTATGAGAGGATACCTCTAGAGTTTAGAGTTTAAAATTCCATTTGGAAGCTTTCGAGTTCGAATCCCCAGATAGGCAAGGTGGGATTTGAGGGAATGGGAGAGAACTACCTCCCACTTTGTAATCCAATATCACTTATGCCAATATACATACTCTGAGGGTGATTATGGAAACTCCTTCAGGCCTTCATCCAGCTCCATTCTCAAGCACCAAGCTTGGCAACCGATTATCAATTAAATGATCGTAACAGATCTCTTCCATATGACCGTCTATTGCAAGAAAGCACATTGACTGGCTGTCCTTGAAGATTTGAGCAACTTTCATACATGTTGTGCGTCCTTAACAGCTTTGTTGAATGAGGCAGCAAGGTATTCTGCAAGACTTGGTTGGGAATTAAACTTGTTAGAAGTTTCTGACCTTTTTTATGCCAATGGATTTTGGGAGCCAGGAATTTGAGGAGCACGAGGTACTCAAACTGTCCATTCCAGCTTCTTGTCTTCTCCATAGACTAGGTTTTAAATGCTGCCAAGGATCTTCCAACATGGATTCATCAAAGAAACAATCTGGCTCCAATGTCCCATTTGATGCTGAATTACAACCATGAAAACCTTGGCTCGTCCCCCACCCCTTCAAATACCAGGACTGATGATGCCACTGTATTCACAACCCCTACTTCTTCCTGAACTGAAACCAGTGACTACCTCAAGGTCCTGGATCATGGATTGGATTGTTGCCAAACATTTGAGGCCTAGCTCTTCCATAAATGAAATTAGGGCTATCTACTGGTGAAAAGCCACGGCATGAAAAATTACCATACTATGCATTAGAGGGATTCCAGACCCTAGGAGCAGTTCCAGGATGCATGGGAAGAGTACCAAACATTCGTCTCCGGCTTCCATCAGAAGCAAAGTTATAATAATTAGCAGTGGCCTGGGATCCATTCCAAGCATCAGAGTGACCTTGATGCATGGGTTAAGGACTTGTTATTCTTGGGCTTCTGTGGGCAGTAAAGCCACTATATGGACCTTGTTTGTATACACTCTGACCAAGTCAGAACTAGCTTTGCATCTGATGGACAGGCAGATTCCTATCCAAGTTCCTTGGTCCTGCCAAATCAGAATAAATTAATTAGTCAATCGTAAAAACAGAGAAGAGTACCAATTGATGTTAATTGAGAAATTATTTAATACAACTTGTTTTAATCCATAACTCTTTTACAGAAAATCAGCTTATTGGTACAAATCAGATCAAACTACTATAATATCCCTCTTAGGACCGTTAATATCTAAAGTTTCATTAAAACATATTGAGGGAAAAAATTATGGTTACATATGCAAAGTATGAGCAGAACTTCTGAAGTTGTCCAGCCCTGGCAACTTCTGATAAGAAGAATGTTCCAAGCTGGAAGAGGGATTGGAAGGGGAAAGAAGGGGAGGGATGGGGCATTAGGAGAGCATACATTATTGCATGCATCGACTTAAGAAGCAGTTTAATAGATGAAAATCATGTTCATTTAGATAATAATAGTAGGAAAACAACCAACCATGGGAAGGAAAAGGCCTTGCCATTGGCCAGCCCCTCGTAGTTGGAGATGTAAAAGATTCTTGCATGGTCTGACTATCGCCCTTGCTCTTCTTGTTAGCGGAAAATGCAGCCCTCGGGTCAGTATAGTTGTCAAAAAGGGGAGTTCTATAAAAGCCATCCTGCACAATCAAACTTAACGATGTCTCACACAACGGATTAGAAAGGCAAGCAGACATTGCAGAAGTCTCAACATTACTAGACACTTCAGGATGAGCAGCTTCCATGCGCATTGCTTTCAACCTTTCCTTTCTTTTCTAAGATTCCTCCATTTATCTGAGAGAGAAAGACAGAGAGAGAAAACGTTCAAACATATTTATTGTCATTCAGCTCGTAAAAAGGAAATGAATTAGCACACATTTGAAATTTGAATCATGATATAGCCTAGCAAAATCCAAGGAAAATCGTGTGTTTTTGCATAAGATTCTCGTGTTTTTAAAATATGGATATTAAGTTTCAACCTCTATGTTCTAAGTTTACAACTCTAACAACCTTATAAATTAGGATTTGCACCAAACTTAAGATGGTAAAATAATCACATCCAATGACAATACTTCCATCTGCAAATCATCTTTTTCGCTTTGACCTTACGGAGTTAATATACATAAACCAAAAAACACAAGCAATATAATTATGAAAAATTCTAAAAAACTGTGGGTTAACTTAAGAACAAGGGAAAAACCAATATACTCCTGGGCAATAGTCATATGCATATATGCCACCCCTATATTCCTAATCTTCCCATTACAGAAGAAATAATCTACTCAAAACTTAACCATCAAAAAGAAAATCTTTTATTTAACATTTTGGTTTCTCCAACTAAAATATTAACTAACTCGTAGAAATAGCCGCTGAAACCATTAGAAACAAATCACTCGAGAAAGCTTGAACCCTTGGAACTCACAAACCAGAAATTGAAAAAAAAAAAATAGTTAGAGTTCAAAACAATAAAGTCATCTGATTTCACTTTATATTTTAGTGATTGTTCCTTCCATTTTCTTACACTCGTACACAAAAATGTCATGGATTGATTGGGATTGGATCGTCCCCATCCACCTGAGCTGGCCCAAACTATCTTCTTTGATCCATGGGATAAACAAATGCAAGGTATGGGGTACCCTCACATGCATGGCCAAAATCTGTTTTTAAAAAGCTATGATTCTTAGACAAGTGAGATTCCAACTCTGAATTTTTTGGAGTTGGAGATGCATGCACTTTATTATTTGGTTAAATACCCAAATGCTAAAACTATTTTTCATGCAACCAAAATCTAAATTACGTGTCTGATTTTCTTTAAGTAATTCTATTTAATATTTTCCAAACGTTTGTAAGTTTATACTAAGAATGAAATTCTAAAATTCATATTCCTTTAAAAAAAAAAAAAAGAAAAGATAAAAAGGGAATTGGGAGAAAAAGGAAAAAAGAAGAGAAATTGGAGAGGGTGTGCCTGCGTCGATGTACCTTATCCAAGGCAAATCGAACTCAATCCACCCACTCCAAGCCGGCTGACCGGTGTCAATCACCCCTTCCTTTCCTATCTCCCTTCAAATTCTCCTTTCGCCTTTTTTTTTTTTTTGAAATTTTATAATTTTTTTCAGATTTTATTTTTTTTAAAAATCAGATTTTGAATTACTTGCATGTGATAAAGAAATTTGACTGTACCTTAAGTGTTACATCAACATGTTATATTTTATATAATTCCTTGTTCAATGTATATAATTCCAAGAGAGCTTCATCGACTTGATTAGCAAGGTGAGAGGCCATGGTGTTCAAGTTTACCATGTAACATGGATTTCGAAAAATATAATTAAAAAAATAGCTCAAATAAGTCATAAATTTACAAAGTTTAAAAGTTCATAATTTCACAATAAATGACAAAAATGTTCAAAGCTAAAGCCAACCAGATTGAAGCCTTTTTATATCATGAATCATCAACCAACAAAACTTGTGAATTACCATAAAATAAAACGTATCTTTTCCAATTATGGTTTATTACCAAATAAAATTGAAAGGACAAATGGCAATAAAATCTGAAAACAAAATATAAAAAATGCCACAACTCGTAAAAAAATCAAAACTCAAAAGGAAATTCATTGAAAGACGATTTTTTTCTTTTCTGTTATTAAAAAAAAGAAGGAGAGAGAACATAAATAAAAGTGATAGCAGATCAGATCAGATTCGATTTTTTTTGAATAATGCATAATATTATAAATTTTTAAAATATAATTCGATATTCTTTTAAAACTGATTTGATCCAAATCGAATTTTACCGATTAATTGGATTCATCAACTTTTAAAATTTATTTTTTTTTATATATTATTTTAATATAATTTTAATATATTTAAATAAATTTATTTATAAAATAATTATTTTATTTTATAAAAATTTAAAATATATCTAAAAATTATAAAAATATATAATTTAATTTGATTTGATTTTTTTCAAATTTTCATGATCCGAAATTTGATATGAACTTAGTGTATATATATATATATATATATATGTTTATTATCCGATTTTGATTATAACAAAAAAAAAATTGATCTGAATCGAATCCACCACTATAATTTAAAATTAATTTTTTATTTTCTTAATTATATTCTCACTAAACATAAACATGAGGTAGAACGAAGAGTGATTGCATTAAAGATGAGTTCTTTGTTATTAGAGATGAGAGCCATTCCATGTTTATAAAATAAATCATCTATGTTAAACCAAGAGCTATGATTAGCGAAAAATAATCCTAGACAACAGACTAACCATTTGAAAAGCACTATAAGAGCATTATAAGCCGTTTATAGCACAATAA